AACAAGGGACAAGGGCCTCGTCGGCCGCGAGGCCGGGCGCGGCTGGCCCGCCGAGCAGACGGATGGGGCCGGTGGCCTACCCCGCCCCACGGCTCCCTTCGTTGCCATCCGCTGCTGCCAACGCCATCCGACCCCAAAGATTCAATTGTACGACGATATGTCGAGGTGCCTTGGGGGTAGAGGGGAGGGGGAGGGGGCACGCTCGCGAGACCCTGTCACCCTAGCCCTCAGGGACGGCTGAAGCTGCCGTTGCAGCTGCCGCCCCTGCCGCGGGTTGAAACTTCTGGAGCTCTCTGCTCTTTGTAGCTCCGCGGCAGGGGGACTGCCCTTCATAAGGGTAACCCAGCTCGAGTTGAACAACACGGCCTGCGTCCTACGTCCCCTCTGCCAACCGTCGCTTCTCCCCGCCCCCCACCACTTGATCTCCGCCCTCGCTTCTCGTTTCTCATTTGCATTCAGGCCTGGCACCCCCTTTGGAGCGGATTATCTACGACGGGAGAGTTGCCAGCCCTGCCCCCGAGCGCCCCCCCCCCCTTCGTCACGCAATGCAGGACCCGTGCCCGCGCGCTCACAAGTCCAGTAGCCTGCAAGTCTGGGAACCTTATTTCTCACGTCGTCGCAGAGATCTATCTTATCATATCAGAGTCGTTTCTGCTTTCAGGGTTCCCTCCCGCCCTGGCGGAGTGCACTTTTCCTTGGACCACTTGTGACTGTATTATTTGGTCTCAGCCTCTGGCCGGCAGCCCTCTCGTGTCGTGTCGGCCCAGCAGGTGCGCCCAGGTGGCCGTCAGCTCTCCCCGAGGCTCTCCCGCCCCGGCTGGTGGGCAGGCGTTGCCACAGGCTGCTGGCGCCGCGTGGCGCGGCGACCCGCTGCCTTGTTTTCCGCTGAATCGCCCAGAAGGACGCTGGGTGCGATTGGGACACGGAGGCCCTGCTGGGTGCCCCCGGGGGCACCCGGACCCGCCCTGCTGCTCTCCTCTAAAAGTCATTTGTCAACGTTTTCATTTATTTGTTGTCATGGTCTGCTGTGATACCGACGCGAGACTCTCCACTGCAACGCTTCCGCACTCATTCTCCATAACGATATTGAGTTATTTCTCTGCCCATCTCTCTAAATTGCCGGGCCTTGCCGCGCCCCGACAGAGACAGATGCGCGTGAGCGTGAGAGACCGCAGGCAGGAGACTCGCGCTTGTCGGTCCAGCGAACGACTCGGCGGGCACAGGAGAGAGAGAGAGACCCGCGGAGGAGGGGGGAGCCGGGCTCGAAGCCAAGGCAGCGGAACGAGAAGACAAAAGCGAGGCGCTCTCCTCGGAGGCGCTCCTCGCCTCCGGCTGCACTGCTCGGTCCGCGGAAATGTCTTCCGAAGGCACTCGCGGCGGCGGTTCGGCTCACAATCACAGAGAGGCGGCTGGTTTGGGGACAGCTGGATTGTATGGTTGTGTTTTCGGTAAGGTTACGGTCGGGTTACGCCATAGTCATGGATGGTGAGGGGGATAGGGGGAGTACTGTTGGCAGCGCTTCGGCCCCAATGGCTTGCCATATTCTGCCCGCCCCGCCCAGACCCGCCCAGCCCCACCCGCCCCGCCCCGCAGGACCTGGTGGAAGGAAGTGCATCGCAGGCGGGTATCCTGCGGGGTCTGGCGGACGGCTGTGTGATTGGACTTTCACTACTCGTATGCCTCAAGCGCGGCCACGTCCCGCCAAACGCGCCACTCGTAAAATTGAACGCGACGGCGGAGATTATCTGGCGAATTTGTGGCACCCCGTTCAGCGGATGTCCACAGGACGGGATGCGACGGGACGGGCTATCGGCTGTCCCGCCCCGCAGGACGCGAAAGCGGGCGTGAGTGAGCGCCCTGTGCACTGTAAAGAATTTTAAAAAGGAATTAGACTTGATTATTTTATAAGTTTCATTTTTGACGGGCGACCGTCTTGGAGGCCCACTCCAACCAATTTATCTTTTACAGTGCGTACTTTACGAATCTAATTGTGAACCCTTTCAAATAAGTCCGTGGGCTTCAGAAATACTTTCTATGGATCGAGCAGGGTCCGGTCGAAGGTTTAACTAGACAAACACCGTTAAAATAAAATTATGTTTTACGTGAAAATAACAATGTAAAATTCTTAAATTACAAGCACAACCTAAATCTACGTGACGAGCAAGGGCTGCTGTAAATTTACAACGTAATTTGTAAATATAATTTATAAGTGTAGGAGTACAAACTCGCGTGCTGTTCGCAGTGTGTCCACTGGTTTAAATTGAAAAGAACGAAGTTCATAAGATCCCAGAGTGTACTTTGTGAAATTAGTTTTTCACACAATGAAACTAAAACTTTGACTGTGAAAAAATATCGTCGTAGATGAGTCACAAATCTTGCTTGTCGGTAAATTCCAAGTCGATACGTTGTTCTTGTAATTTTTAAATGTCAATTTTACCTCACGCTTAACGATTTTTTTTCCTACAAAACCTCGATCTATTTTTCACAGTGGAGCATGCTTGGTGACTATTCCTGTTGTTGAGCACACGGCCCGTCCCAGCAGGCATGCGACATCCCATGGACCGCTGCCGGCGGCGCACACGCATGCGCGCGGTGCACAGTACTCATTTTGATAAGCCGCTGTCGCAAAAACAAACAGAAAAACTAGCGTAAAACACAACATTCATTTTTTTGTGCTCAGGAACAAACTTGTTCTTTAATTTAACGTATGTCTACCGTTACGAAACTGCCAAGTTCAGCCTGGTTCAGCTCAACCAATTCAAGGTCTCCTAGCGCCTGATAGGCAGGCAATATCTTGCCTGTTGTGCATGCGTGTGCTGCGTGATGGCCTACCTCGAGCCTCGCAGGCGCCGAGCTCGCGTCATTTGCCGAATGGTCGAATGACCCTGAGATACGGATGGGACGCATACTTTCCAGACGATCTCTTTAAGAAACAAGTACTGTTATTAGTGTAGTGTTAAACTGTACTATCGGTGTCACTGTCGCGGAACTTTACGCAGACTATAGTGGTGGCGTGCACACTGCACAGATTTCCAATCGCAGTTCTGTAGATGTTCTGCTGGTACTGACGTGTCTGTGAGCTTTCGTGCTGATTGTCAGCACATCGCGTTAGCTTGATGATAAAGCCGTAGTGGGTGCAAACATTTAGCCTGCCATTGAATCTGTCTTAGTCATATAGGTTCGGTTCGTGAAGGGAGGTGAAGAAAGAGTGAAAAGAAAAATTTTGATCGCACAAAAAGTTGCAACGCGTGGTCGCGTGGTACTCCTTACTTTTCGTGGGTATGTTGCCTAGTTTATTTTGTGTATTGTTTGTTTCCTGGAGGGTGGAGGGCAAGCGCTTCCGCTCGGTGGTCATACGCGTAGGGCTCGACTCGCACTCACAATGGCCGGCAGCTCGGCGTGGCGAGGCGTGGCGAGGCGTGGCGAGGCGCCGCCGCGCTCCTCCGTCCGGCCCGCCCGACGCTCTAGTTGGCGGCGTCGCGACGCCCCGCGTCCTCCTGATGACTCTGAGGCGTCTCGCTGCCCAGCGACCGTGGCGCCCGCCTTTTTCCATCTCGTCCCCGTGCATGGAGTCGGGGCGACCACTTATGTCACTTCTCACACTGCTCACTCTTATTCACGTCTCGCATTCGCTGCGCCCGTTTCACACACACTGCACACTGCAAGTACAAGTATACTAATGACGCACACCTGCAGGGGTGCGTCGGTATTTCCGAATCTCCACACAGCTGCAGATGTGTGAATGCGGCCACGAACACACTTCTTAAGGACGGGTAAATGGCTACCTTTTCAAGTGTGAGTATCTCTATTCGCTCACCTACTACTGTGCGAATATTTTGCCACACACCTGCACCTGCGGGTGTGTGAATGCGCAGCGTCCTTGCCCTCCGCTCGGAGACAGAATAACACAATCGGAAGTTGTTGTTTCCGGTCGCGGCCGACAGGTGCCGGGTAGCTGTGGCCGAATAAGGCGCGAGCTGAGGAACCCGGCCCACCTTGTGGAGAGGCTGCGGCGGCCGTCAGCCGTCACCGTCAGTGGGGCGGGGCACCGCGCCGGTACCTGCCGGCTCACACAACAGTGTGCTTGGATAAAGTGTCCACTGGGAATCCAAGTGTACGAACGCGCGGCGCTTACGTCGCACGTCGCACATGAACGCCTGCAGGTGTGCGACAGAATTTGTACACACTTGGTGGTCAGTAAATATGGCTACCTTCCCAAATGTACGATTCCTACTCGCCCACCTGCAAGTGTGTACGTTTTGTTGCACGCCTTCAGGTGTAAGAATGTTTCGTCGCCCACTTGGATTTCCATTTCCATGATAGGCATCAACATGCTAAGCACTGTGTAGGAGTCCGTTGGAGTTTCATTGCAGCTTTTGATACTTTGGGACTGTCAGTCGCGTTACGCGTCCGATCGTTCCAGAGCCGCTTCCTCCCGCCTCGCGTGCGCTCTCGCGCGTTTCGCCTGTTTCCCTTCTTATTTGGGTGTGAGCCGGCTAGGCCATATGCTAAATCGATATTACGAAATGTGTGACGCAAGAGCAGGGAAATGTTCGTCAATGAAAAAGTTATTTTCAACGTTTTGCCCTGGAGCTTTACCGTGTGCCTCACACCTGTGCTCTGTTGGTGCCTCGCCTTGTTGATAGGCAATGTCTACAGTTAAACGCAGTCATAAGCATTCAATTATAAACCAATTCAGGTTTAGTGAATAATTGACTACACGTGAGTTGGACTCTGTGGGAAAGTCGAAAAAGTACAACAAAGGCATTCTTGTTAAAATTGTAAAGCATATGCGTATATTTAAAAATAAAGATTTTAAAACTTTACACAGAAAGCCTGAAAAAGAGAAAAGGCATCACGGTAATAACTAAAAGAGATTTTTCAGGTGGCGCGATCTACTGCAGATTTACAACTCTGTACTGTCAATTTGTTTGGTTCAAAATAAAAATCTTAATAGCCATTAAGGTATTAATTCAGCATTGTTTCTGACTCTGTTTCAGCTATCTGCGCTCATGGACAACGCCGCAAGATGAAGAAAGAAGAGGAGTCATGACCTTGCACTGGTGGCAGCACTGGTTCTGGATTACGGGCAGGGCGCCTGGTAAGAGAGAGAGAATTTAATTGACTTTGCATTTATTACGGATTCACCCAGAAAAGCGTGTTCTCGGCCCAAGAAATGTTCTTGCGGAATCGAGAACATTGGCTTGGGACGATGCAAATT